AAAATAAATTTTCCATTTATCAATACTAACTGCACATTATATATTGAATACATAAACAATTTTGAGTGGCTTTAACAAGACATTTGTTTTTTGAAATTTAATAAAAAAATTGAAATAGAAAGAGCTTTTGATTTATAATGAATGTTATAACATTTATAAAGCGGGCATAGTTTTTGCTAATTTTATACAAGGGCAGATTAGTATGGCAGTAGTACAATAAACAGTATATCAATAGAACTACTGTTGAAATGCTCACTTACTGTTAAAATACTGCCTTCCTACACAAAACAGTTGATCAACGTAGTCATTTATACTCAAAAATATATTAAAGTGTCTATAACACAAACTTTCTTTGACAAAATTTCTTTGTTCTTTATGCATTGTTACTGCTTTCCTTTTCTGTTCTACCTTCGTGTGAAACAAGCATAAGTGATGCATAATGTAAACTGCATGGGAGCGGCTAATGGCCTGAGACACGTAAATACAAATTTCAGCGAGTCGTTTTTACGTCGAAGCTATTTATGAGAAGTGTCTGAATTATTCATATGTTGTACTTTACTTGTCGCATAGTCGTTTCCTAGTCCAGTTCTCTCGTAGTTTATAAAATAATAGTATTAAATTAAGAAACACGTAGATTCTAACGTTTGGTTGATAGAATCGTTGTTAATTGATAATATTAGGCCATGGGATCTTGGGGTTTCCGAAAGAGCGAGTCAAAAAAAATACGGGTTAAAATATCCATTTAAAATTGAACATTTTATTTTTAATTCAATAATGTATCCAATTTAATTGCTATAAAAGTACCTATTTAGAATTATTTTAAGGGTACCGATAACAAATAGTAAAGTTATAAAACAAATACTAGCTTATTAAAACTCCTTAAAATAATAAAAGAGACTGGCTTTAAGTTCATTGAAGGATCCTTTGAAAACTTGCAAGTTGTTTTGTTATAGTATTAATTAATGCAGCGCAGTTCATTTGTTTATTATGAAAATCCTCCCGCGAATAAATGCAAAAGTTCGAGAGATAAACCCTTGATAATATTTTCAGACATGAATAAAATAATTTTACTAGAATAAAAAAAACTGAGGATTAACTTGTAGTTTGCTTATTAGAATGGTAAAGAAATGTTTCACTGTTTGAAGGAATACGAATCATTGGATTGTCTTCTTTAAAATAATCGAACAGTCAGTGAATAATCGTTTTGTATTGTGACATGTTGCTGTCCTTGTTTTTTTAAAGAGAATATGAGCGATGACAATATTAACACAAATTCACGGCAGTATTCCACTGTAAGGTACAAGAGATATAACGAAATAAACAAAAAATACCTACAAATTATCCTTTCAGTCGGCTATAAGTTAACAAAGAAAATTTTAAATGAAGTTATTGTTTTACTTAATTTCATTACAAAGGGTAGGCAACATGTGAAATTGTTACGTATAATTATGACGTAAAGGCTTAAATGTGTTAATAAAGGCATAAAATTTATAAGTCGACCGCAAAATTCTTAAAGTTTTCCGTTAATTCAAGCATTCTTAGTAAAAATACTTTGAAAAGATAAGTGAGCTTTGTATGCAAATTTAAATACTCACGCGACTTCTTAGGCGAATAATTAACTGGAAGAAAACGTTTTTAATTTCACAAAACTTTTCACACTAATAAAAGTTTGAAAAAAGATAGAGTTTTTTAGTTTAGCTCTTTAGTAAGGTAATTTTTTATATCATAAGGTGGCAAACGAGCGAGCGGCCACTTGAAATCGCTGAAATAGCGAAGTGACCGTTGCCCATAGACATACGCAATTGCATATGCGTTGCCTACCTTTAATCGACGGAGGAGAGGATGCACAGAAAGAAAATATTTTCATTCCCAGGAATCCTCTCATCACATACGAAAAAGGGTGGGAGGGAAAGAGGACTAAATTAGGCCCCCGGGATGCAATGTTAATAATATAACAACTCAGAGTTGTTCAATAGTAACTAAGGGAATCCTTTACATGTACAGAGAAATCTACACTAAGGGACTCTTTAGTAACTCTAAAATTACTCTGTGTGGTAGTAAGTCTAGTAGCGAAATATGAAAAAAAATCAAATCATGTGACCACTCAACAACAAACTGTTACTAATTTTAGGGAAAACATCAAACGCATTATATTCACCAACATTATCTTTAAAACGTTATTTATTTAATTTGAATAAAAACATGTCTTTACCACCTTTGTGTTAATTTTCCTAAAAAAACATTTACTTTATTAGCGTTCGTCTCTTTCGAAAAGTACCAAACAACCAGTGGAATCTCGGTCAATCGCTAGTTTATTAAAAAAAGAAAGAACTTGTTTTACCTTATTCTACATAATGTTAACTAATGCTAATAAATAAATTTACAATACTGATTAGGACCGTACGTGCGGCGGACAGCTGTTTAACCGCAGAATGTTAAATGTATCCAGCCAGTCGGAATTTATGCGGACGATAAAATACTATGTGACTTTTTAATTATGTGAATTAGTATATAACTAATTCCCTTACTTTCCTAATCTTAGACAAAATTTTGGTTGCTAACCAACAATGGTAGATTGACATTGGTAGAGCCCGCTTTAACATCTTCGCACGAATTGGCCCGGCTCGCCCGGTGAAATACCATGACCACACAGAAGACAGGCGTCAAGTGGAAGGAATTCCGCGTTTCGTCTGATGAGTGTGCGTCCCAGAGGCCTAATTTAGTCATCTTTCCCTTCCCACCCCTTTTCTTATAAGGAAAGGATGGGAAGTGGAAGTGGCCTTTCCGGATGAGAGGATGCATGAGAAGGGAAATTTTTTTCTTTCTGTGCATCCTCTCCTCCGACGATTATAGGTAGGTAATGCATATGCAATTGCGTATGACTATGGGCAACGGTCACTTCGCTATTTTAGCGATTTCAGTTGGCTCGCTCGTTTGCCACCTTACGGTATAAAAAAAGATTAGTCGAATGCCCTAGCTTTACTAGCTTGCAGTAATAAGTGAAAAGCCATTGTACTAGTTCTATTTACTAATCCATGTGTAATAAAAATGATGAATAGTGTATACTTACAATTAGTTTGTAGGCAAATGTAGCCTGAGCAATTAACTGAGAATGGCAATGGAACAATAGGAATGAAAACAACGTATTTAGATCACATATTTATTGATGTGGTAGTTATTTTGAGCTACACAAATTCCATTCGTTATTTACAACTTACGCACTATAAATATTTTGTAACAATAAGCAACAATTTTAACTGCATACTATAAATACATTTTCAAACCGAAATGTCTACAATGTTGACAAATTTCATCGTTATGAGAAATTGTAGGTTAGGTTTTTTTTAAATCCAATGTGTTAATATTTTGTACATTTATATTGTAAAAAACTTGGTTAATTTTTTTATTATTAATAAAAACATGGAACGTATAAAAACATAATCGCCAAAGATGTAAATAATAAATACTCGTAAATAAATTAATAGTTAGTATTAAGTTTACAACAAATGCATAAAATTTTTGTTTTTTTTAATTATTGTTGAAAATATATAATTGTCCTTATTTTTTAAAACGGTTCAATTAATCAAGTTAAATATAATTTGGTATATAATAAACCAACCCGCACTTAGCCAGCGTGGTTGACTATGGCCTAATCACCCTTAACTTAGGGTAGGCTCCGAGCCCCTTGGTGTGGACGTATAGTGAGCTGATGATGATATAACACACGGTATTTTAGAAGAAGAATTCGATGACAATTAATATTCATCGAAATCTAAAAAGTTATAACTAAAACCGTAGTTGAATTATCAAACTTCTTCAAAATTATATAGATAAAAAATCAGTAAATGGATCCCCGATATTCCATCATGTTTTTTTTTAAATTTTCTGTAGCCAAAAACACCACGGAATGTTTTAAATAAATGCACATTTTATCGCAATTTTAAATAGTCTCTTTTATTTAAAATATTTCATTTCAAATCATAATAAAATTTTTATTAATCTTCAGTTATCTAAAAATAATAAATACACATTTTTTACGTATCGTATAGATTATTGGTTGAATTATGAATTGTTGTTTGCAAACTTTTCTATGAAAATAAAAATAAAAATTGACTTTTTTTTAAGTCGAATTCCATTTTCAAATAAATATGACAGCTTACTTTAAACATATTTATTTTGCTCTTGTTTTCTCTAGAATATCTATCCCTGTACAATTTTGTAAAGGTTTAGAATTAATAAGTTCATATATAACTTACTTTATAACTTTACATTAGCTTAATTAATTATCGTAACTTTGTAGAAAAAAATATACTTATATAACAACGAGTAAGTAGCTTTGTTTTTGTGACTAGGTTAAAAAAATATTTTCGGTAAATTATTAAGTTAAATATAAAAATAAATGACCTTAAACAAAAACTAAGCTACGAAATTATACAAAAATTATTAAATAATATATTTATAAATTAAATTTTTATTTTCGAATACATTTTAATGGATTAATTATCAAAAAAACCAGCTTGTTATATGAAGTTGTAAAAATATGATGTAATTTTGTTTTTTAAATAAAATTAATTATTATTTAAACAGTTTTGTTTTAATTGTTTTGGTGCGATATTGAAAAGAGCTTTTACAATTAAAACATTATTAATATTTTATTTATTGGAATATGTATGGTAACAAAACGTACTTGGGTCTTAACTAACTCTGAATACAAAGACGAAAGAGCAAATGACTTTTTTGTTTTAAAATACTCTTTTTTTAAATTGATATGTCGTTTTTATGTACCAGACTTTTAATACCCCTTGTTTTGTTTTACTTCGCCTTTTTTTAAAATTTTTATAAATTTATTTGGAATTAAATAACATTTTTCTAGGTCGAATATATAAATGATCTTTTTATGTAATCTTTTAACAATTAATTGTGGATTGAAAATAATATTAAAAATAATTACATAATTAAGTTTAATTAATTAAACTTTTACAGTTTATAAATGGTCTATAAATGTTTTTATTACCGAAACTATTTACAACACTGTTGATCTCTAACGAGACACTGGTGAGAAATATTCCAAGAAAAAAAAAATCCGATTAGATCAATAAAGAGTCTTGGAAACAATTTGTAGTATGCAGTATATCAATAAATGTAGAGTAGTTAATAAATGAGTCTTGCAATGACTACTAGACGCGGCTTGCACTCTGTCAGCCCGCGAAGCCCCCTCGTTGAAGTCCCGCGATCTTGCGTAACCTTTTAACCGCTCACCTTGTACGCTTTCTTCGTTACTTCGCCAGTAGACTGTTGCTATTGTGGCGAGACACTGCAACAATAGATACATCCTGTAGGATATTTTTAAGGCGCTTTTTTTATCGTAGAATTAATAGCGTAAATTTCATTTTAGCTAGAGTTAAGTAGAGAAAAAGATTCAATACTAAAAGTGAATATAATGGCCTATGTCTCTTTGCTGTAAAGAAAAGACTTAAGGCACATTTGAATTTTATTGTTGCGTAATATTAATAACGATTAGATATGTCAATATTTTTTGCTTATTATAAGGAAAGCTGCATAAATATTTGCATTGGAAAATAATATCTCGTTTTTTTTTTGCTAATGTTTAGTCTTTTTGACTACGAACACGATTATATAAATGTGATATATTTTAAAAATTATAACATTTGTATTATATTACATGGTGCACCGCGTAAAGCCAAAAATCAATAACTCAATACGTTATTAATTCAGAAGTTCAGGTCATATGTATATGCATATTTAAAACATAAAATGACATTCGACAGATCAGGGACGTTAAATATAGCAAACAAAAATTAAATTCAGTCATATTCCTGTAAAGTTTTATGATTTAATAAAATTTTTATGGATTTGTAGGCTTTATGAATAACTGTAAATGCTTTCGTGAGTAGTAATATAGGTAATAAAGTAAGACAGTTTACGCCATCTATATATATAAAAGAAAGTTGTGTTAGTTACACTAGTTATAACTATAAGAAGTATAACTCAAGAACGGCTTTACTGATATGGTTGAAAATTGGTGAGGAGGTAGCTTAGAGCATGGAGACGGACATAGGTTACTATTTATTCTTTTTTTTCGAATTCATGCCTTGAAGTGCTGCTTTTTATTTAACTTACTAATATTATAAATGCGAATGTTTAGATGGATGTGATGTGGATGGAAGGATAGGTGTTTGAAGATATCTCTAGAACGGCTGAAAGGATCTCGATTAAATTTGGCATAAGTATAGAACATAGTCTGAAAGAACACATTGGCTACACTAATATCCACGCCAACGAAGTCGCGGGCGACAGCTAGTTTCTAATATTTTGTGCTTGAGAACCAAACATTTGTTAGATCGTCATCAACCTGCCTTTATCCCTACGACAGGTCGGTACAGTATGTACTACTCCACCATACATCTCTATCAGCCTTTATATCTGAATGTACCACCTTCCTACGCATATCCTCTTTCATACAATCCATTCATACTTTCTTTGGTCTTTCTCTTCCTTTGTAGCCATCCATATTCAATCTCATTATATTTGTTTATATAACATTTATGAGTTACATATTTACGCCAAAAAAAACTTAGTTAAAAGGGTACACCAACGTGATGATTTAGACGTCAAGGTTGTTTATAGAGGTTTTATGGGCGACTAGCTAAGAAGCCTTCCATGGAATTTTACGACGCGAAAACAATGAAACTCTAAACCAAGATATTTTGTTACAATACACATTTCTGCCATTCCTAGAAATTTTAATGTTTATAATTCAATCTAAAAGCTCAAACTATAATAAGAAATGTCTTAAAATTAACTATGTTTTTTATTCGTTTCCAACCTACGATTTATATTTCTTATACATAATCCCTATTGAATTTAACGCCATCTAAGCAACAATTGTTGTATGAAAGTAAAATCGCCAGTCAATGGCATTGAAAGTGTTAAGTTGACGAGATAGTAATTTAAAGGTATAAACAATACTTACTTTAAGTTTAAGGTCCCCTTTCCTAAAATGTTTCGGCTTGACTTTGAAGTCAAGCGCTAGACTCGTCGTTTCCAGACCATCATCGTCTTTATACGTGACGGGTGTTAGGACTGTAGCTGGGGGCGCGGGTTCACCGTTTATGTACCACGCGAGTCTGGTCGCCGGTCGGGACCGGCCTGAAGTGCAGTTTACTTGCACCCTGTCTCCGATCTGGTACCGTAGTCTAGACCCGGAGATCGTTGGTCCGTGTTCTGGTAATGCTGGGAAAGAAAGATGTATTTCAGACCACATACACTTCTAGATAATAGAAAAGAGAGAGAGTTTGTGTTTTGGGGAGGTATAGTAAGTAAGGGAAGGATTGTATAAATTGAGTGACGACTGAAATAACGAATGCAACACCGATTTGCTAGTTGTCCCGGAACGACGGTGACAAAACATGGTCCTACGCTGTATTAACACTGTGACTAACGGCGAGAGTTGTATCCTGAGTAGTAAAGTGCTGTGGGTTCCGGTGCGTTCCTAGAAGATGCCTGTGCCCTTTCTATTGCACTTGAGGTTGCACCGAAGGGGTTTTAGTGGGTCAAAACCCACATAACCATGTTTTCCCGCGGAAGGTATTCTTTCCAATATTTCTCAACGAAAAAAAATCGATTTAGGGCCGCAAACCTGATGGAAGATTCTACATAGAGTTAGTTAAGGATATGATTTTGCGGTAATAACTTGTAGAATATCATTGGTGTTCGTCTATAAAAGTCTTCTAATTCCATAATTTAAAGCAACTTATTAGGTAATTAAATGTCATGACATAATATTAATATTATGCTACAAAGAATTAAATCTTTAATTATTAAATTTTATACTTTAAAGAACAAAGTAATAAAGGTACGGCTTCATAAGAACGACACTAAAACATAATATTCACATCAAAAGTAGACATTAAAGTGAAAGGGTTTACTGCCGCCACTTGAATAGAGTAATTATATGACTTGTTTCAAAATAATTAAAAGGTAGTGTTTATTTAACACTACAGTTTATGAGCCAAATCTTATAATGAAATATATATAAAAGTACAACTAAAGTATACTTATGTTTTTAAATTATATTTCAATATAATTTCTTATTTACCAGTATTCTTTTGTCGAAAAAAAATTATTAAAAATTGTACTATGCACAATCTGTTAACAATATTTGTGAATAGTGGTGAATATCGGTGAATACTGGTGAGTATTGGTGAATAGTGGTGAATATTGGTGAACAGTGGTGACGCAACGAACTGCAGAATCCGGTCAGTTACTCTTTATGTCTTGAGTCGTCGTAATCTTTGCAATGCATCGCCAGCAGGCTGGTGTAGTTTGATTTTTCATACCTTAAATGAATATTTTATTTATGTCGTTCGATACTTACCTACGATGATCATGTCCGCATGGTCGGAAACAGTCGGGAAGAGTGGTCGCTCGCCTGATACCTCGCATCTGTATCTCCCGCCCGTCTCCAATACGGCCGGGAACAGCGTTATGTTGGATCCGTTTGGGCTTGATTGCTGTCAACAACAAAACTGATATACATTGCTACACTGGAAGCGACATATTTAGTAACTAGTGTGGTGTTAGGAACAAAACGAAATTTTTCATGAAATCAAAAAATTGTGCTGGCTGGTATTATACACAAGCCTCTTGTAGTTAATTTTATTCTGATATTTTATTAAACAAAATAATTGATCTAGTTTTACTAGGATTTTTATGTTTTTTTCCTATTTCTCCGTAATACAATTAAATTGCAACAAAAGTTATTGAGTCAACTTTTATAAAAATAAAAATGTCAGTGTTACGAAGTAACTTTTTAAAATGTTACTGGCCAGTGCTCGAATAGTTTTCCACTTTAAAAAACAATAGCCGTTGTAGTAATAAAGTTGGCCGATGTGTGTATGACTTTACGTGTTTATGTTTAAGCAATTGAAGGAAGCTGGAACAGTTTGAAGCGAGAGCTTGTGTGCGCACGTAGCTCTTCAGCGCGCAATATCCGTTCCACTTCTATAGCGGTTTATATAACGATACAAGATACCTCATATAATCTAATTAGAAATGTTTTTGTACAATGTTCGATGGGTGTTAAGATATTGCGTGTCTACGTTCATGTTTACGTCAAAAGGGGGAGCTTTTTATTCAAGGGTATTGTGGATGCATTGTTTGCTGTGAGGTTCGTAAGTAATATGAATCACAATTAGAAAACGAATTTTTCTTCTTCCAATGCCTCTCCATTACTGGAGGTTGGCCGTCAGCTCAGCGAACCCTTTCCTGTCCTGTGCCAAGCGAAAAAGTTGTTCAACGCTGGCAAAATTGGTCCATTCCCGGATGTTTCTTAGCCACGACTTTCTCCTCCTTCCAACTCGTCTTCTGCCTGCGATTTTGCCCATCATAATGAGTTGAAGAAGTTCATATTTTTCGTGTCGCAAGACATGGCCTAAATATGCAACTTTTCTCTTTTTGACGGTCTGCAATAATTCGCGTTTTGTGCCGACGCGCTGGAGGACCCGCACATTGGAAATCTTCTCTGTCCAACTTATGCGTAGCATTCTACGGTAGCACCATATCTCGAAAGCTTCGAGGAACTTCTGGGTGTTGGCTTTCAATGTCCAGGCTTCGCTACCGTATAATACGACTGGCCAGACATAACACTGGAGTATTCTTATTCGGAGCTTAATGGATAGTTGACGGTTGCATAAAACTTAACCCATTTTTTTAAGAGTTGCCTGGCCCATTCCAATTCGGGATCGTATTTCCAGTTCGCTGTCCCATTCTTCATGAACCCAGGCACCGAGGTACTTATACTTCCGCACTCGCTCTATGTCTTAGAAAACGAATTGATTTCTATTTATTCATTTATTTGTCTAAATTTAAGATCGAAGGAATACCCTTTTTTTCCTAACCGCAAATTTTCTATTAGAATTCAGAAGTCTTTTGTCTTCGCAACGATAAAAGAAAAGTTCCAAATTCAAACATAAAAAATTGGCTGTATGTTTCGCATTCCTTTGCTTTAAAAAAAAACTTTTTCATAGAATGGCACGTTATCGGCGTCGGTTAGAGTCGGGCGCACGTGTAGATATATTCAGGTGTCACTCACCCGCCACAACACGCACGCAATTTCGGTGAGTCAACTTCATTACGTGCTATAGATTACAATCGCGACATCCATTACGGAAAATAAGCGCCTCCATAAAGCATGTCTCGTCCGACTCCTGGCTTTAACTAATATTTATGAAGAATAAAAGTAAGGTTATGTTATGTAACTTCACTTCGTTGAATATAAAAAAAAAACGAAGTTAATATGACATTGAGCCATGTCAAAAACTTGTCATAATTTTTTTTTCGATTGATGGTGACTTTAACGTTACAAAAGATGCTTTTTCGAGTATAAATGACTTTTGAAACCAAAAAGTACCTAATCGCTGTTTTATAGATTCGATCTAAATTGTTTTATTTTTCTTTCTTGGATTATTTTCCTTCTGAAATATACGACTCCATAAACAAATATGGTAAGAAGTCATATTTATTCCTTTACGATGTCTCATAAAACACTTTTATTAAGTTAATCATTTTAGTGTAAAACATAAAATAAATGATGATATATTTCTGTGATAGTGCAATGAAAAACTCAGGTGACATCAAATACCCTGCACATAAAAAAAATGAATATAAAATAAAAAAAAATTGACGTTTGAAACATAATTTATAACATAGCTAAATCAAGAAATATTTTGCAAATATAAAACAGTTGTTTCCTGTTGTATTTAGTTTTTGTATTTAAAATTAATCCACGCATGTTTTTATTTTCTTAATGTTACTTTGTTGCAAAATACAAAAAAAATATTAATGTAATTGTGAATGTATAAGACTAATTTATAAGCCTACCTCAACATCGACTCCGGGTAGCAGAAACTTTCTGCGGGGTTCGACATCGCGGGGGACATGTCGGAAGAACTCTTTGCCGTCCTTGTACCACTTGACAGAGTAGAGGACGTCAGTGGGCCCCAGCTTCCAGCGGCAGGAGAGCGACGCGCGCGTGCCTAATGGTACGTGCGCCGGAACCCGCAGTTCCAGCAACTCCAGACCAGTAACTATGTAACCTGTAACAATATTTATGATTTGTAACATTGGTTATTAATCTGTGCAACTTGTGCAAATAAATTGTACAAATGCAACCAAACAGTATTCTTTTTCGAAGTCAAGTCTGGCAAATCGAATATCCATTTTTTTTTTCATATAAAAATGTACAACCATAAAATTCGGGCTTTGATAAGTCTCGGAAAGGTATGCACTTTGAATACACATTTGCTCGTATGTTGGTAAAATGTTATGAAGGCAAAAATCCATTAAACGCGATGTGAAATAATTTCCCATGTGACGGCCGCCCGCGGCCCGTAAAAGAGGCACTATTGCCCCTACCCCCCGCGCCCAGCTCAGCAAAATATTACTTTACGACTGAACCCGCGGGGTGGCGCTCGAGTAAATTGATGAATAAAGACCACAAGTACACGACCAGACGAATTACGTTAATGCAAATATATCCTGTAATTGATTACACCTATACCAATTTAACAACGATTTTGTTTGTATGCGAAACGTGTTTGAAATGACAATACCGAATTTTAAGAACTTTTCTCCACAAATATAGTTAGACAAAATTAATACTTATTGTTAGAAAAGACGAATCTACATGGCTCACCTGGTGTTATTTGATCCGACAATGTAGGCATTAATTCTCTCGAAAATTATGAGCAAAAAGGTGCTAAAATCTTCACTGCAATTTCCAAACAAAACATAAAATAAAGCCTCTATTCACGTCAAACGCTGCAATAAAGTAAGTTATTTACGAACGTGTATTGTTTTTGACAATGATTGTGCTGTTCAGAGTAATTTAAAAAAATAAAATGCTCTTAAAAAGAGTTGTGAATATGATGTATTGTAACTTGAGCCGGTCGCCATATGTCACACAATTGTGGGGGAGGTTCTACAGCGAGTCTGGGGGAGGGGAGACTTTGTGGCGGTCGCGGGGGACGGTCGCTGGACTTCACAATAAAGCAATTTAATTTTATATGTTGAACAAAAGCATGCGGTCTTTACCGATACGATTATTCCAGTATTTTCGATAATTATTAATTGTGTTCAACATTTTAAATTAAAGTGCTTAATAATTTTGTACATGATAATTTATTTATTCCACGATGAAATTACATTTCATTTACATCATTTTGATTGGCACAAACTCTGAACACACTGGACACGGATGGAAACTGAACAACTACACCGAATTTTATTTTTTACAATCGTTGTAAGGAATAAGTTGCATGTAAATTCCGAACGGTGCAAATTACATATGCTTGTCACTAAATGATATCAAGATCGAGTGGGCACGTTAAATGCAGTGCTAATTGCGCCGTCCAATACTTGGACATTAAGGCATTCACCGCCTATCACTGTCTGATATCAGGTGTACGCCAAATGACATCTGTAATTCAATAACATTACGAACAGAAGCGAATAATTAACAAGCTTTCATACGCTTTGATTAAAAGGGCACATAAATACAAAAAAATATAAGATGTGTCATTTAAAATATGACATAGTACAAAATGCTATGATTATGTTAAACGATACTATAATAAGCTAGATTCATGTACCTATACTGGATAAATAAATGACAAGAACTAAATACAATAAAATAATTAATATATTTTAAAACGTTTTTTCTTTTTCTATGACAATACATTTCATTTTACTGGCCAGTTACAGGTTTCTCATGGAAAACATTTGTCTACAAACATTTTATAATTATTGTAATTGTCCCACTTATTAAATACTAGCAGTCGCCCGCGACTCCGTCCGCGTCGAATTAAAAAAAAGTACATAATTAGTAGCCTACGTGTTCTTCCAGACTATGCTCTATATGTATGCCAAATATCATCGAGATCCATTCAGCCGTTCTGGCTATAACATCAAACATTCATCTATTTATCCATCCATCTAAACATAAGCATTTATAAGATTAGAAGAATTTAGAAGAAGAAGATTTAAGATAGCCATGTTGATCATGTCACTAAGCTGTAATCTAACATTCCAATGGTGATTTTTTTTAAAAATATTTCTGTAGTTTTGGAGTTTATACGTTACTTGCAAAATACAAATCCTTCCCCTTGATACTATAGTGTAAAAACTTGTGAAAACAAACCGCAGTTTTTAAAGTCAGAGGGGATTTTGGGGTGCACTAGTATTGTCGGAAATAAAACTAAGTGAATCACTCCTGGGGGTCTGAGCACCCTATCCGAGGTAGAACCCTACTGGGACCACTCTGGGGCCTCTCTGAATCCACTTCAGATCACCTAGATACCTCAAACCGATATGTTTAGTTAAATTGTTTCATTTAAAATCATTTTGCGTACACTTATAGTAATTCAATTATCGGTTTGTTTTTATTTAATTTGTTGATTTTAAAATGTTTTACAATTTTTGTAGAGATGTTAATTAATTTATAATTTGAAGATAACGATAAGCGTCAATAGCATAATGGTTAAGGATACGGATTTCCGATCACGAGGTAGTGGCTTCGAATCCCGCCATTCGACTATTGTCGTAAACCATATCCTAGCACAAGCATAGAGTTTAGTTGGAATGGTTAAAGAAATATTAGTTAATTTACAAAAAAAATTGCTAATATTAAAAAAAAAAAGAAAACTATAGAAAACAGGATAAGTTTTTTTTAATTAGAATATCGTCGCCAATAAACCTTTTTTTTTAAAACTGATATAAAAACGGCTAAACACTCACGTATGGTCGTCCGGTGGCGGCACCGACTAGTTTCGAGCCAATCGGGGGCCCTCCATCAGGATGAGTGGTACTGGTATTATTTATATAGTATACATTAGATGAATATACGTGAGTGTTTAGCCGTTTTTATATCAGTTTAGTATAATATCTCACGAAAGTTTGAATAATTTAAAACCAATTTTTGATACATAGGTCGATATAATAAAGTTGGTTTTCGGTATATTAAGAAACAGCAGCTAAAATAAAATTGAAATAGAATATAACGAATTAAAAACAAAAATAATGCCTTAATTTTTTTCTACTAGAATTTACAATAATAGCACAATAGTAAATAGATTTTCGGAACTAAAAAAAAACATTAATTTATATTACTAATATCACAAATGCGAATGTTTAGATGAATGTATGTTGGTTAAAAGGTTATCTTAAGATCGAATAAACGGATCTATAAGAAATTCAGTATAGATATAGAATATACCCTTAAAGAAAGCATGCTTACTAACTTGTTTTTAAAAATTGCGCGCAGACGGAGTCGCGGGCAAAAACTAGTCATTAAATAGATAAAAATAAGAGCGTATTCCTAACCTAGATTACTATAGTCGAATGGAAGGCTCGCTTTCACTCTAATTGTTCATATAACGTATTGGAAAAGAAAAATATTCGATAAAACGTATGAGATAGTCCCTCGACACGTAAAACAAAGTGGGTATCAGGTGTTTTATATTGAAGTATTGTGATGTAATGTTTCCAATGTCTGGCTTCGGTGGCTCAGGGGTTAAGCACTTGACTTGCAACTGTAGGTCCTGGGTTCGAATCCCGCCATATACCAATGTGTTTTTCGATTTCCGATTTACATTTGTACATTTATCCGTCTTTCTTACGGTGAAGGAAAACATCGTGATGCCTGCACATATCTGAGAAGAAATTCAAAGATATGTGTGACGTCAACCAATCCGCACTTGGCCAGCGTGGTTGACTATGGCCTAATCACCATTAACTTAGGGTAGGCTCCGAGCTCCTCGGTGGGGACGTATAGTGAGCTGATGATGATGATGTTACCAATGTAAAGAACTTTTAATACTTTGTAAAGGTAATATAAATATAGTACGATTAAAAATATACTAACGTATTAGTCAATTTACATTTAGTAGTGATATTTGCCGCTTACTACTACTAAATTTTATGGATTTATAGATGTATGTAACTCCAGAATAGTTAAATCTGAATGATATTTGGAAAGGACATAAATTATAATACAATCTTGACTAAACATAACAGGGCATAGATTACTAATTCAGTTTTTTTTATTTCCTATCCAGATAGTATTCAAGCTTTAACAAGATTTAATTTAGACATGGCATTATAGAAAGTGAAAAAAACAGTATTTTGTAAATTTTTTTCGGAACAGGGCTACTGTAAATAAAGAGATTTTTTAAACGAAAGCAAAATAAATATTTTAATTTTCAAGTTTTTTTTGTTGTATGACAATTACGACTTTGTAGTTATAGATGCTATTAATTTAGCTAGCTTGTTCTATGTTTGAATGTATTTAATTGTCGGGGTCCAGGTAATTGGAAATGCAGCACAAAGCGCTCGCCGCCGCGTGAGGTGTTAACGAACTGGCCGATAAAAATCCAGCCACCGTATATGAGGCATTTTTGACTAGGCTTTTAGAATGTACTAGTTATATTTAGTTTATTTCAAAAACAACGCTTCTAGTAAACCTTTTATGATATCTAAAAACGAATCTTTAAAGCCCAATGAATGTGTTAAAATTCTAATCACCTTTCCTAGGCAAAGATGGGTAGGTTAAGTGCATTAGCAGGGACAGAAAGGTATAGTATAGAGAAATATCTTTTTTCTGTACTGTCTCTTACTAATCTTTGTTAATAATAATGATCTTTGCTACGAAAATTAAGTCTTGTAAAACATAATTATGATATTGTTAGTCAAAGTTCGTATCGAGTTCGGATTCCTAATTTATCGATTAAAGTTTTGAAGTCGCTAAGACCCTTTGTACACAAGGCAACGTAAATCTTAGAAACACAGCGATTTTAGTCACTTAGCGACTTACACAACACAATGTCATGGAGTTTCGTAGACAAAGTTAATTGCTTGTAACCTGTTAGTCAAGGTCGTCGTGAAAAAGTCGCCTAGATTTTCAAGATGGCGGAACAATACTATTAACATGAGTAGTGGCTATGCCAGTACTGACCGAATAAACGATTTGCGTCGAAAAATCATCGTTGTGGGTACAAAGCGCGCGCAACGCGATTCTTGCGAAGCAAGGATATGATTTAAA